CTCTCTCTCTCTCTCTCTCTCTCTCTCGTCCGTGTGCGTGCTAGTGTGGGCGCTCGTGCCTCTGCGTCGTAGGTGTGAAGAACAGTTATACTCGGATAGATTTGAAGGTGGCGCACGCGCGCTCGCACACACACGACCTCAGACTTGACCGTCGAAAGCAGATGAGGTAAGTTCTTGTCGTTCGGATCTCTCTCTCTCTCTCTCTCTCTATCTATCTATCTATCTATCTATCTATCTATCTATCTCTCTCTCTCTCCATACATATACATATGTACATGTGTATGTATACATAGATATCTTTATCGCGCTCTCCCGTGCCCGGACGCCAACACCCCGCGTTGGAAGCTATCCAAAAACCCCCACGTACATGGGCAGGATTTTTTTTTATTTTTTTTTTTTTAAGTGCGGAGTTTTTCATCCGCTAATTACAAATTTCTAGACATTTATCTCTCTCTGAGATGTACGTAGGGCAGGAAATTTTCGTGGGGGGCCGCGGCGAAATTAGCCCAGATCCTGCCCATCCAAAAACCTCTCACGTACATGGGCAGGAAATTAGCCCAGGTACATGGGCTTTTTTCGGACGGGTCCTGCCCATCCATGCGAAAACCAGTGGGGGCCCGCCATTGGCTGATAGAGAGGCTCTTGCATTAAGAGAACATATAACGCACGTCAAGGTGGGGAGGGGAAAAAAAAAAAAAAGGTGGGGAGCACTAGCTTCCTCTGTATGAACGCCCTGCAGCTGTTCCTGTCCCGATGGACGTACCAAAAAAACAGTACGACGAGCAGCGGCCAGCTTTCGATAACAGGCCCGTTGACGACCATGACGGTGATGACGATGATGACTGAATGGAGCGGCGGCCTAATGAACAAGGGAGGGGGGGAGGTATGAAGAAGGCGCACCCCTTGAGTGAAAGGGAAGGGGCGGGAAAGGTGCAAAACCCCCTTCTTTCCCGCCCCGATCATCGTCCATTTTCCCTGGATTAAAATGTGAGATTGACTGTGACTTTGCACATACGACCACCCTACATCTCCTTACACAGCCAGGCCACCAGTCCAGCTGCCACAACTGAGACCAGCTGGCTTTTTACCAGCTAGCGGCCACATACACAACGTACACACACCCATTATCATCGTTGTTGCCTATGGTTGATGTCGCCATCGTCGCTTTAGCTGCTATGTCTTCTATACTTGCTTTGGCTAATGTTGGTCGCTTACTTGTCTTCTACGCTTGCTTGTTCTTACGTTGCTGCTGCTGCTATCGCTGCTGCTCCTGCTGCAATCGTTGGCAGTAATCATGGTCATGAATGAAAAAGGGGCGGGAGAAGGGGGGGTAGACTTCGAGAGGGTAAATGGGGGAGTTCAGAGATGCTTGAACAGGCCAGAGGGGATGGTGAAACAGGAGGAACGGGATGCGCAAGGAGAAGTAGCGGGAGGAAGAGAAGCAGCAATAGGATCAGGAGAAAGATGAGGAAAAAGAAGAGGAGAGGCAGGAGGAGGAGGAGGAGGAGAGGAGAAAAAAGAGCTGGTCAGGGTAGAAATGAAACATGGGGGGGGGCGGCTGAGAAAGGGAGTGTTGGGATAGGATGGGAAATCACCTTTCCAATGTGAACAGCCTTGGTGCTGCTGTTCTTCACGATCATGGCTAGCCCGCTCGGAGGAGGGGGGCGAATCCTTGGCGATGGCGAAAAAGTCACAATGGGTGCGTTTTGGTGAGGCTGATGATGAGGGTGGAGGTAGAAGAGAGGACGAGGATGATGTGGCTGATAGGAAGGCCCGTGAGCGGCGGCCGAGCAGCCGCCAGGGAGGGACACAGCCGTTCCAGAACTCACACCCGCGCCGCTGGGAGCCATGCGCTCCCTTCCGTTTCGCTGCTCTCTTCTCCCTGTCCCTCACCTTTTTTGCCTCTCCCTCTTCTTTCCTTACCTTTTCGCCTCCTCCCTGTCTGCCTCCTCTCCTGCGCCTCCTTCTCCTATTGCCCTCTTGATTCTCACGTCGCCTCTCCCTGCTCCTATTGTGTAATCCTCTGTCCTGTCCTTGTCGCGGAGGAGGAGCCTGTTCCCTCCCGCTGGCCAGTTGCAGGTTAAGATGCCACGTCCACGCCGGTGAATCGCGCTAGGGGGCGCCCAAAAAAGGTGCTCGCGGACACTCCCCGTTCGTAGCTCTCAATTAGGCGAAAGGGAAGAGGGAGGGAGAGGGAGGAGAGGGAGGAGAGGGAGGAGAGGGAGGAGAGGGAGGAGGGAGCGGGTCCTGGTTGGTCGACATTGAAAGCGAAAATCGCCGCGCAAGCAGTAGCACTGGTTAGTCCCCGATGACGTGACGCAGAGCCAAGCCATGCAAGGCGTTAGCGTCCCTGTAGCTGTAGCTGGCCGCCAGGGGTGCTTGATCGACCATGGACACTAAACCACACGCAGCAACCCAGCGATCTCTCTCTCTCTCTCTCTCTCTCTCTCTCTCTCTCTCTCTCTCTCTCTCTCTCTATGTGTGTGTGTGTGTGTGTGTGTGTGTGTGTGTATGTGTGTGTGTCTCTCTCTCTCTCTCTGTGTATCGTCCGCGCGCGCACGATGTGTCGCGGGCGGGTGTGCTTGCTGGGTGACGCTGGGGGGTGACGCAGATGGTAGGTGGTGTGTGCGTATCTGTATGGTTGCTCGCTCAGCCAGCGGGGGGGCGGGTTGAGAAGCGTGAGGGTGCTTGGGTAGGGGAGTAAATGCTCACGCGCGCGCAGAATGTGTCGCGGGCGGGTGTGCTCGCTGGGTGACGCAGATGGTGGGTGGTGTGAGTATCTGTATGGTTGCTCGCTCAGCCAGCGGGGGGCGGGTTGAGGAGCGTGAGGGTGCTTGGGTGGGGGAGTAAATGTGCATTTGGCGTGAGCGTGCGGATATGCCACATCTACACCCGTGAATCGCGCCACCCCTCTACCCCGGATCTCAACGCACCCCCTTTATGGCTGTACCCAACCGGAGAGATCGCTTGTATACATTCATCATCAGGGAGCGTTCTGCTCGGGGGAAAACGGTAGGGGGCACCCAAAAAAGGTGCTCGCAGACCCTCCCCATTTGTAGCTCTCAATTAGGCCTGGACCCCACAGCCAGGCGCCTAAGCCAAACCGTTTGGTCGCCGTACCACCCCAGGGTGTCTGGGTTCGGAGGTGGTCCCGGGGTGCCCCGATAAGGAAATTTGTGGAGGTCTTTACCGAAATGGAAAGACCTCCCCATCGCGGTCTTTTCAAAAGGTCCAGCAGTCCAGCAGGCGGACCTTCGAGTTTCCGCCCCTCAGGCAAGGGTCACATGGTGCAGCGGGCCCGTGCGGGCACCATCTCGAGGTACAGAAGGCAATTGTCACAGTCCGTTTCGAGGGTTCCTGGCATGAGGGCCTAAATGAGGGGCTAATTGGGTCTTCGTAAAGTCTGCCAGGAGTCTGGAGGGAGGGAAGGCACGTGCAGTCCTGCACCGTCCTGCTGGGCCATCGACTTCCCCCTCTGCTATAGCTGCCTAAAGGGAGTGACATAGGCTGACAGATGTACGAGATTGGCGGCCATCTCAGGTAGAAGGTCCGAAAAAGGTTCTCCCACCATGTATCCGCCGAAACAGGAGGTGGGGCTGCCACTCATGTACACCGGCGATGTTCGCAGCCCGTCAGGGGTGCGTTTTTCCCCCTTTGAGACATGGAGACATTTTTTCGTCGTCCTTCGTTATACCGGTCGGGTCGTTTGGTCGTTGGAAGGCTCAAAAAATACAGGAAGGTGCAGGTGTGGCACTTTGGGGGGTGGTGGCACTTTGTCTGAAAAATGAGGGACCGGTAGCTGCCAGTTGGACCGCGCTTTGGGTTTTGGTCGGAACGGGTTTTGGTCGAAATCGAAACGGTGGCAAAGCAGGGGACAATGGAAAGGGTACTCGGGGCCAGGGGCAGGGGCTGAAAAGTCCGACGAAAGTGCGCAGGCTTGGGCAGTGGTTAAAACGACACTTTCGTCCGATGAAAGTGCTCAGGCTTGGGCAGTGGTTGAAACGACACTTCGGACTTGCGCTGACTCTCTTTTTTTTTTTCTCTCTCTCTCTCTCTCTCTCTCTCTCTCTCTCTCTCTCTCTCTCTCTCTCTCTCTCTCTCTCTGTGTGTTTATCAATCAAGCATATACAAACTTCGGGCTGCGTACCCGTGCCCTCACAGTAAGTCAATATTAAGTTGAGCAAATCATCCACAGAGTAGGAGCCCCGGTGCGGACACACCAATGCAGCAATGCAACCACATGTTCTTCATGCTTGCCCTCGTCATCATTCGGTGGGTGAATGGCCACAACCAGGTCGTGTTAACCCGTTTGAACATTGCAGCCTGTTCGCTATAATTGATGCCACATATGTCATATTTTATTTGCCACTTGTTTTGACACTGTTGGCACGAGGGGTCACCCACAACATATCCTTCATGCCAGCAGCTATGATTGCCTTGGATCTCCAGGCGACAGGTGTTCATCGGATCAGGATTTCGGATAGAGCAGCGAGGTGTGGAAAGATTTGCAAAGGGAAGGGTTAGATTATGACAAGGTGTTCAATAGATTTTACCGACTTCCTCATCCAAGGTGTTGGAACGGATAGGTCCCATTATCTTGTCGGAGAATATAAATTGAAGAAATATTTTACCAGCAGCACATAACTTCTCGTGCACACTCATGCGGTGGGCAATATATGGTTTCTACGAGCAATTGGGTCATGGGATCGATGTTGGCTTAATGGGCGCACTTCAAAATAATCAGGAGGTCGTTGATGCAACCATCAACTTATGTGGGCATGTTATTACTTTCCCATGAGGGCGGCGAATGAGAAACCCGAAATATCAACAAGCAAAGGAACCATCGATATTGAGCCCATGATCGTGAGTGTCTGGTTATCTTCCAAGTGACACCATCCGAGTCATGGTCTCGATTGTCATATTGCTTCTTCCTTCCATGTGGACGAATGCAGCCCTACACTAGCCAATGCCACGAGACTCGGCCCGTACGCAAGAGAGAGGGGAAAAAAAAAGAAAAAAAAAAAAGTATGAATGACAAAAATTGAATATGGGTCTAATTGCAACCACAATTTATTTCGTGGTTGAACTCATTTATTTTTAAATTTATGAAATATTTGTCATTGAACGATTACAACAAATCGCAGTGTTTGCACTTTCGGGCGAATCCCGAATTTAACCAATTACGAACTTGAGTTCCTTAGGTGTTCCCGCATCTTGGATCTGCTGCCTGCAGACAGTCTGTACACTTTCTCCTGTACGAACCCTCTACTATAATTTTCATATTTTGTCACGTATGGCTAAAAGATTACAACAAATGAAAAAATTTACGATTTAACTGATTTATTTTTAAATTTATGTATTATTTATCATGAAACGATTACAATAAAATCTATGAACACTCTAATTTTAAGATTTTGTCACGTATGGTTGAACGATTATAACACATGGAAAATATGTTTGTGTAATCGTTTCATAACAAAATTTATAACCGCTATAATTTTCATATTTTATCACGCAAGGTAGGATTAAAGTGCTCATAAATTTTGTCGTAATCGTTCCACATAAAAATCATTAAAGTTTGGTTACTTTTAATGTTGGTCCACCTATGGTAAAGTAAGGAAAACAGAAAATGTGTTGAGTCGGTGTGGGGATTGTGTTGTGGTTTTAATAATTAAAATATATATATATATATATTTGTTATAGAAAACAATAACCTAATTTATGGATTCTTGAAGTTTCATATTTATTTGTTAATCCTTGTAAGCACAAAAAATCTTCAAAGTTGTCTCTCGCAAATTATAAAATTGTATTCATTAGCCTTCTCGTGAAACTTACGATAAAGTTTCCCTTTCTTACTTCTGTTCGGGATCCGCTTTCACTTGACGACTGATGATTCCTCTTTCCACAAATTCCGGTTTTATGAGAGTTAGTTGTAGGTCGTTCACAAAATCACTAAAAAATGGTCCCCCACAAACTTTTGCTTCCCCTAAAACCCACTTGCGTTCTAGTCACTTGCTCCCAAAAATGCACCACCTTGACACGGACGTCGAAATCCACTATACCGGAGCCTTATGGCTTAAACTTTAATTGTTTTAGTATTCACTCGAAAATTTCGTTTTTTTAAGTTTGGATCACTTTCTCTTACTTGTTTTTACCTTGGATATGGTAAAGAGTACATGCACTGGATTTTTATGTGAACTTAGTTTCACGCCCGTTTCATGCTTGTCCAACCACGTCACATTTGTCTGTCAATCTCACRCCCGTTTCATGTTTGTCCAACCACGTCACATTTGTCTGTCGATCTACTTGCTCGCCAACTTCGATACGGGTAGCACGACAATTTATCGTTAAAAGCGTCRCGACAAAGATGTGGGGGGGGTTATAAACCGCAATCATGATGATATGAGTTGGATATTAAAAAGCGAGACCTTGAAGTGAACACTTCAAAATACAAATTGCCACGCTACCCATGCAGAGGCCGACTGACAGGAAAGCGAGTACACGTATCCAATGTACTTTGAAAAAATGAGATGACTGTTAAAATTTATTTTGTGTGTGTAGAATAATCTCACTCAATGCAATGTTTGCTCTATTGTTTAAATCGTGAGTTGCATCGAAAAACATTAGGCAACAACATAAAATATGCGTCAAACCAAAAATAATTAAAGTGAGTTTTGAAATGAGCACTAAAAAATACAAATAATCATGTCACTAATGCGCATATCGGCGGGTAGGTGGGGAAGAGGCGAATGCAACACAACTAGACAAAATAGAAAATTGGCATAACAATGCATGTGTGTGAGAATTGCAGACACATACGTTAATATCTCCTAACATATTATTTGCTATGGTTTAAACTTTTTATTTAGTTAGATCATTACTTATATCTCGTAAGACATCACCCACGATATACGCATTCATGATATCAGTTAGATTATTTTTGTTGAAACAAACTTTTTTTATTTAGATTGAAACACAAAAAAAACATTATCGTTCGAAAAAATATATTTGGCAGAATATGTTTTCTCCCCTTGTAAATGTGTCTCGTTTATTTTTTCACCCGCACGCATGTTGTCCTCATGTAGGTGAGATGATGATTTTTTCATCTCACTTTCATAGAAAAGGCTTGCTTTTATTATGTACGGATCGCTTTGTCTTACATGAACTTACTCGATAAATGTTACTACAACACGTAAAATTTTGTTTATGTTCTGCATATCTAGCTCCGTCGCGTCAAATTGATTGTGCACGCATGAGAAGCACAACGATTTATATTTTTATTTGTTAACTTCAAAGATTCGCTTCCATTAACTTTGGCTTGCCTAGCCATTCATTTTTTTTTTTTTTAAATTTGATTGTGGATCATTCATATGTTTTCTTACGAACTTGCAAAGAGAGGATACAAAAATTTTTCTTTTAAAGTGCTCATTTTAAAGGTATACTTTTATCATTTTTTACTCCCATTGCATTTCATACTATTACCCGATTATGAGTCGCAACAATACTATACTATAAAAATAAGGTAACAACTCAAATGCATCATATCAAGAAAATATTGGTACAACAGTTTGGTTGAAAAAATAAACTCTAATAGATAACTAATAAAGGAGGAAACTACGTGAAAGTCACAAAAATGAGTTATAATTGCACTATGGGCCAAAATACAGTTTCGAATTGCGGTTCGGACAATATATACTACCCAGTTTTCTGCCCAGGTAGGTTGCTTGAAGTGCGATTGCAAATAATATTTTGCCACATAACGCAATTATAACTCATTTTTGTGACTCTACTGAAGTTACCTCATGATAAATTTCACTCTAATATTCATACACGTGAAGTCAATTATGACATAGAGACAAACAAGTATGTCATTGTCGCAA